TTCCTCTTTTCACAAATTAAAACAAAACAAAACAAAAAAACATTTTTTTTCTACGTTCCCGCAGTCACTTCCGTTTCTTGTACTCTTATTGGGTCCTAGTAGCACACGCCGCACTTCACAGGCAAACACATACTGCGTTATGTAATATATTTATTTACAATATATCTGTGCATTTCGCTTACTGTTACTTCTGCTGCCGTTTATCTAATCCGCGTTTGATCGCCTCTTTATATATATATATATATATGTATATACTTCCTTCTCCTTCTCAGCACACATGCACGCAATTCCTTCCCGTTCTGTCACCGCCCGTGGCTACATGCGATTCACGTGTCCCTCATCTCCTTTTTCCCTGCGTATGTCACCACCCGCGCGTCCCCCTCCTCCGCCCAACCCCTCCCCTGCGCGTTTGTTTCTTTTTCTCCTCGCCCCCCGCCACGGCGCCGCCTTTTTTTTTATCCACCCCCGCATCCCCGCAACAGACACCGACACCCCCCCCCCGCAGCCGCAGAGAGGGCCAGAGAGAAGAGGAAGCCCCCGCCCAGTCGCATGCGCGTTTGCTTCCCGCGTGAGGGTGGTGGTCGGAGCGTGGCGCCCCGGCGAGAAGCGATGCGGGCAAAAAAGCGAGCACGCACACACGCAGAAAACATCCACACAAAAAGGATTCTTCTTTGCCTCACAAGAAACTCTCACCTTCGCTTTTCCCACAGTCACCGTCACTCCCGTCGGCGCCCAACCCCCCCCCCGCTTTGCAGCATGAGGAGGGGGCACCTCCAGCCAGCGGGGCGCACGTTTCATGTGACGCGAGCATAATAAAACAAGGAAAGGGAAAGCGAAGGATGGAAAAAGAGATGTGATACCCCTTCATTGGTTGCTGCTGTTTTTTGCTTTCCTTTGTGGGTGTGTGTAGGTGTGTGTGTGGGTGTGTGTGGGGAGATCCGCGTTTGCCGTGCGTGGTCTGCGAGGAAGGAAGGGAGGGAGGGAAGACGGCGGCGGGCTCCTGCCGCGGCCGCTTCGCCGTCGCCGTCGCCCAAATTTCAGGAAGGGAGGGGGAAAAAGGGCACAGGGAACTTCACAGCAGCAGGAGCCGGGGAACCCGGGGAGGCGGGAGGAGGAGGAGGAGGTGGTGGAGGGGCGCAAAGAGAAGACGAGGACGAAGCGTTCACGACAAGAAGTATGGGGAGGGTCCCGTCGATGCACCTTTGCTGCGGGTGCCTCTCCCCCCTCCCCTCCCAAGCGCCGCACCTGCACGCGCACACACACATACACACCCCTCCACCCCTCGCAGCCTGCACTCGCCCTTAACCGCAGGACTTAGTTACTTTCTTTACCTTGTTTTTTTTTTTTACTTGTTCCTTGTTCCTTGTTCTTATTTGTGTTAGGCCAGAATGGAACAACGTCGTCTGCTCAGCGGCGCTCGTGGCTGCCGTGACGACGGTGGTGGTCTTCGTCAGAACCGCGGTGGCGCTGGCGACTACCAGAGCGGGAACGGCGGCGAAACCTCTCGCGGCTGTCGGACCTCCGCCGTTCAGGAGAGTCACGGCCCCGTTTCTCCCCGGAAAGCGGCGGGGGGCCCTGGCTCCACTGCGGCGCAGCCACCGGCATCTGCATCGGCACACGCGGCGGGAGCGGCTGTGACGGTGGGGCAGCGTACACGCCGCCAGCGCCCACCGCGACTTGCGCCTGTGGTGGCATGGGGTACCCACCGGCATGCATCATGGGGGCAGACGGCATCGGCGCGGGCACCGCGGCGCCGTACGGTGCGTACGGTCGTGCGCCGTAACCGCCTTGATATCCGCCACCACCGCCGCCGCCGCCACTTCGGTAGCCGCCGCCACCACCACTTCGGTAGCCGCCGCCGCCGCTTCGGTAGCCGCCGCCTCGGTAGCCTCCACCGCCTCGGTAGCCTCCACCACCGCCTCGGCCCATGACCTCGTAGAGTTCCTGGGGAACCTCCTGATTGGCGCGGCGCAAGAGTTCGATCAAGTCGCGGATCGTCTTCGGTGGATCAGCGGCGCTTATAAAAGAGTACGCATCGCCTCGTTTTCCGGCACGTCCAGTTCGTCCTGTTCCAGTTAGATGCAAAGTCAGACATAATTACAGAGCAGCACAGCAGGGGGAGAGAAGGGAACGGAGCGGGGTGTTCAGGTTGAAGCAAAAATCAGATAAATAGTAAAGAATTATTTTTTTTTATTACGTCGGCGTTGGCGACAGCCGCTCGGGAGCTGTGAGGCACGCTCTGGCTGGGGGAGATTGTGACGCACGTGTGTGTGTGTGTGTGT